CGCATTGTTGATCAATATGTCGAGGTGTTTCCAATGCTCGATTGATTTTTTGAACGCACCTAAAGCATTTTGCTACACTTATCTAGGTTTGGCGAGTCTTGAATTAGAAATGCTATTGATTCCAACTTAACCTGAAGAACTGAAGAATAATTTATCTCTAACATCATTTAAGATCTTTTATTTTGGATAATCTTCGAAGAAAATCGAAAAAGAAGATCAAAAGTTTTTCTGAAGAATTTTTCAAGCACAATGGACATTCTCTGCAAAATCTTTTGACATTCTCTAGTAAGATGCCATAAATGTGGTGGAGCATTTTTGAGAAATATGCCTAAGTCACGTTTTTTATGGCCTTTCTTTAAATGGGCACAATTTTGTTCGATGTTGTTCCATCAACCCTCAAAAATTGGCACAAAATTAGGCTAGATACGATGATTTCCAAACGGTTATGATTTTCGATTCTTCAGGCTTGTACAAAGTTACCCATAAGAATAGAATCCCATTTTTGAGGATGTTTTTTTATTCTGAAGAACTAAATGAAACCTAACCTCTGACCAAAGGACGTGGACAGCTTCTGAGGGTTATGGTTGAGGATTAGAAGCAAGAAAAAAGAGGGTTTGGAAGGTACAACGTCCCACGCAACCCTCCCACTACCACAATGACTTACCTTCAACTTGATCCTTTTTGGAAACGTCGGCAGCTACGAAGATAACCTTTTCCGCTCCAAACTCCCTTTTAAGTAGCGCAGTAGATTCCTCTCCTCTAACCTCGTTAATATCCGCCAATGTCACGCCCTGATTAACCGCAATTAGCTCAAACTTATTATGAGCGGAGTTTTTTTACCTCAATTCCGTTGATAAGAAGTTCCTTAATACAAGCGAAGCCGATTCCTTGAGCGCCACCAGTGACCAAAGCGTATTTTCCCTTCAACATGGACATTTTGTCATATGCCAGGTACACTTAATCGTATGACACCGCGTCTTCAATTTGCACCGATCCTTGCCTAATCAAGCAATTATACATGTTTTTTTAAAATTTCAATCGTAATTAACTAATTAGGTCACTATGTGCCGATATGCTGTTTAAAGGTTATCAGTAGCCGAGCTATTGCGTCACACCATGGATTAGACTATTGAAACTGAACGATATTATAGTTGACAAGCATTATCAACCACACATTGTTGAAATGAGCACCAACAATTGGGCAACGACGTTTCACACAGAAATTGTTTACCTGAATTTGACACCCAAACTGTTGTCACTCGACCGCCTATTATTGTTATTATAATTTTTAAACTAATTCTGCTTTTACGACAATAAAAATCGCGCGGACTATATTTAATCGTTACCCGTCTTCTTCTTTTTTTTTGCGCTTCGCTATTTATATTAATGCCAAAGCGGAACCAACGAAATTTCTGCGACCAGCGTCCCCTTTAAACCAATAGTTCCGAATCTCTCGAAAAAGTAACTATACTTTGAGCTGCACGATAGATAGATAGTGTTTTCCCGAGAAATTTTGGAGCAGTCGATTTTTGGTTAAAAAGGAAGGTAATACACTGCCTTCTTTTGAAGCCGGAAAGAAAAATTGTCTGAGATCGACCGGGAAAAAACATTTTCTTATAGAGTTTGGCCCGTAGAATCCATAATTTCAAACAGTTCTAAGATTGGACTACTAGATCAAAAGTTACAGCCCTTTGAACTTTTTGTCAAAATTTGTTAGTCCATAACCCTTGATTGAGGGGCCTGATCGAAAAAGTACGGATCGTTTTGGATTCTACGCACCAAAATTAGTGAGAAAAAGTGTTTTCCCGAGAAATTTTGGAGCAGTCGATTTTTGGTAAAAAAGGAAGGTAATACACTGCCTTTTTTTGAGGCCGGAAAGAAAAATTGTCTGAGATCGACCGGGAAAAAACATTTTCTTATAGAGTTTGGCCCGTAGAATCCATAATTTCAAACAGTTCTAAGATTGGACTACTAGATCAAAAGTTACAGCCCTTTGAACTTTTTGTCGAAATTTGTAATTAGTCCATAACTTTTGATTGAGGGGCCTGATCGAAAAAGTACGAATCGTTTTGGATTCTANTCCCGAGAAATTTTGGAGCAGTCGATTTTTGGTAAAAAAGGAAGGTAATACACTGCCTTTTTTTGAGGCCGGAAAGAAAAATTGTCTGAGATCGACCGGGAAAAAAACATTTTCTTATAGAGTTTGGCGCGTAGAATCCATAATTTCAAACAGTTTCAAGATTGGACTACTAGATCAAAAGTTACAGCCCTTTGAACTTTTTCGAAATTTTAATTAGTCCATAACCTTTGATTGAGGAGCCTGATCGAAAAAGTACGAATCGTTTTGGATTCTACGCACCAAAATGAGTGAGAAAAAGTGTTTTCCCGAGAAATTTTGGAGCAGTCAATTTTTGGTAAAAAAGGAAGGTAATACACTGCCTTTTTTTGAGGCCGGAAAGAAAAATTGTCTGAGATCGACCGGGAAAAAACATTTTCTTATAGAGTTTGGCCCGTAGAATCCATACTTTCAAACACTTCTAAGATTGGATTACTAGATCAAAAGTTACAGCTCTTTGAACTTTTTGTCGCAATTTGTAATTAGTCTATAACTTTTGATTGAGGGTCCTGATCGAAAAAGTACGAATCGTTTTGGATTCTACGCACCAAAATTAGTGAGAAAAAGTGTTTTTCCGAGAAATTTTGGAGCAGTCGATTTTTGGTAAAAAAGGAAGGTAATACACTGCCTTTTTTTGAGGCCGGAAAGAAAAATTGTCTGAGATCGACCGGGAAAAAACATTTTCTTATAGAGTTTGGCCCGTAGAATCCATAATTTCAAACAGTTCTAAGATTGGATTACTAGATCAAAAGTTACAGCTCTTTGAACTTTTTGTCGCAATTTGTAATTAGTCCATAACTTTTGATTGAGGGGCCTGATCGAAAAAGTATGAATCGTTTTGGATTCTACGCACCAAAATTAGTGAGAAAAAGTGTTTTCCCGAGAAATTTTGGAGCAGTCGATTTTTGGTAAAAAAGGAAGGTAATACACTGCGTTCTTTTGAGGCCAGAAAGAAAAATTGTCTGAGATCGACCGGGAAAAAACATTTTCTTATAGAGTTTGGCCCGTAGAATCCATAATTTCAAACAGTTCTAAGATTGGACTACTAGATCAAAAGTTACAGCCCTTTGAACTTTTTGTCGAAATTTGTAATTAGTCCATAACTTTTGATTGAGGGGCCTGATCGAAAAAGTACGAATCGTTTTGGATTCTACGCACCAAAATTAGTGAGAAAAAGTGTTTTCCCGAGAAATTTTGGAGCAGTCGATTTTTGGTAAAAAAGGAAGGTAATACACTGCCTTTTTTTGAGGCCGGAAAGAAAAATTGTCTGAGATCGACCGGGAAAAAACATTTTCTTATAGAGTTTGGCCCGTAGAATCCATAATTTCAAACAGTTCCAAGATTGGACTACTAGATCAAAAGTTACAGCCCTTTGAACTTTTTGTCGAAATTTGTAATTAGTCCATAACTTTTGATTGAGGGGCCTGATCGAAAAAGTACGAATCGTTTTGGATTCTACGCACCAAAATTAGTGAGAAAAAGTGTTTTCCCGAGAAATTTTGGAGCAGTCGATTTTTGGTAAAAAAGGAAGGTAATACACTGCCTTTTTTTGAGACCGGAAAGAAAAATTGTCTGAGATCGACCGGGAAAAAACATTTTCTTATAGAGTTTGGCCCGTAGAATCCATAATTTCAAACAGTTCTAAGATTGGACTACTAGATCAAAAGTTACAGCCCTTTGAACTTTTTCTCAACATTTGTTAGTCCATAACTTTTGATTGAGGGGCCTGATCGAAAAAGTATGAATCGTTTTGGATTCTACGCACCAAAATTAGTTAGAAAAAGTGTTTTTCCGAGAAATTTTGGAGCAGTCGATTTTTGGTAAAAAAGGAAGGTAATACACTGCCTTTTTTTGAGGCCGGAAAGAAAAATTGTCTGAGATCGACCGGGAAAAAACATTTTCTTATAGAGTTTGGCCCGTAGAATACTAGTAGGTGAAATAACAACTTATTTCTATTATCTCCCTTGGTCTATGATATCATACAAAATATACAAGACGCGTTGTTAATCTCTTATGGAAAAATCCACTTGAGAAACCTCGTTCCCCACGATGGTCCACACGCTTCCACTAGTTCCCTCAATCATCAATCTCACCAGATGTTTCGCGCACTCCTCCGATCTGCACACGATTGTCTTTTCAAAACGTCCATTCAGGGGCGTGCAAATACTTACGATTGGCTCTTCAGCCAATCCCGATCGTCATTGTAACTCGTTTGGGAATGCGGAACCAAACTTTTGAGCGCCTCCAAGCCTCCCGCGTTCCGCGCGAAATCGGTGATTGTCAGTCCGGGGCAGACGGTGACGACTCGTACGCCGTTATGATCGTGGTAGATGGAATCGCCCAAACATCGACCCAGCATTACTATAAAGGACTTGGTGGACGAATACACTGGAGTGATGGCGTACGGATGGACCGCAACTATTGAGGCCACGTTCACAATGACTCCTCCTCTGCCATTTCGCTTGGTGCTCAAATACTGAAATGCCGTCAAAGAGCACTGAAGAGTTCCTCCCTAAAGGCGTAGATGGTAATCTGTACTGGAAATACCTAACTTACGCAGTTTGTCAATAGCGCCTTTTGCCAATGTTGCTCGGCGATGACCCCAGCGTTGTTGATCACTATGTCCAAGTGCTTCCAGTGATTGAAAGACTTTTCGAAAGCGTCTGAAATTGGATGGCGTGTAAAATGGCAATGGATAAGGGTTTACCTTCGACTTGATCTTCTTTTGAAACATCGCCTTCGATAAAGATGACCCTTTCTGTTCCGAATTCTTCTTTGAGCAAGGCCGTGGATTCGTTGCCTTTCGAAACGTTCACATCCACCAACGTGACGCCCTAGACGGAAGCGGTTACGGTTGAGCCTCGATCTCGATGGCTCACCTGAATTCCATTGTTAAGGAGTTCTTTGATGCAAGCGAAACCAATGCCTTGAGAGCCGCCAGTCACCAAAGCAAATTTACCATTTAGCCGCGACATTTTGAGCGTGGAGTAATTACTTGTTATTCGGTTATTGGCGGCGACGTGCCCTTCTCGAGTTATCTCGTACGATAAGGATATCGGGAGTAGGAAGTTTCCAACTGATTGGTTCATAAATGTACAAGTTCTTCAGTGGGGACCAGACTACTGGCTGCAATTTCCCCAATGTTGGACAACCCTCAAGGAGCATATCTTCACCGACCCTCTAAATCTCCATCAGCATCCTCTCAACTCGTCTTCATCCGGGGGGATAGCGTAGGATATTACTAAAATATGGTAAATAAAGGTCTGCAAAAAGTGTTTAGAGGACATAGTGGGATAAGTCCGCCGCACGGTGAGGGTAGGCAACACACTACGCGCGTCTGGGTGGAAGGTTGCGTACAGATAGCATACGCCTAGATCCCTTATTTTTAGTAAGTTGGGAGAATCTCATACGGAAGAGACTGAGGGGGGCGAACGCTTCCCAGCTGCTGAGACTGAGAAGCCCCTAACTCAGTCAAGGATGACTCTAGAGGGTAAAAAGAGGAAATAAGCAAAAGAGTTCGAGGTGTTTAAAAGGAGCAAAGAAGTTATAAGATCACCGGAACAAAGGAAAGTGGAGGCAGACAGAAAAGGGAGAGAGCGAGAACGGAATTGAAAGATGGGAAAGGAGCAAATTGATAGGAGGGGAGGAAATGCAGAGAAGGGAAAAGCAATGGAATGAAGAAAAAGAAGAACTGATGGAAAAGATAGCAAAACTAGAATAAGAGGATAAAAGATAAGGAACAAAAAAGGTGTTCATATAAGCAGAAAGAAAGGCACAGAGAGAAATTGCAGAGACTGCGGAGAGGGAAAGAGGAAAGGAAATTAAAATTAACAAATGATGAACAACACAGATGAAGTACCAAAAAAAAACGAATTAGTGAGAACAGAGACGTAGAGAAAGAGAAAAATTAACAGTAAAAGAGAGTGGAAGGGGAGGAATGGGGAGGCGAGAGACAGAAACGAACAACAAAAGAAAGGAACAAAATAAAACAAAAATGGAGAGAGTTTGTAAGGGGATATGATTGAACCATGGATAGAAGGAAATAACTGGAGGGGAATAAAGAACAGGATATTTAGTGAGTACATGTCGAAGAACCAATTTGCGAAGGAGGATAATATAAAGAGAAGCGTAAAAGGAAGCATTAACAGCAGTAAGAAGGGATATGGGAATCGAGGGAGGAAATGAATGAGGAGGAAGGCATACAGGAAGTGGAGGGGAAGAGAACAGAGAACGAATTAAAGATGTATCACATACAATAGAAAGTATGGTAAATGAAAAAGAGGAGAGGATGATATTGGGAGACAGGAGTAAATTCCAGAACAAGGAATAAAGAAAAACGAGTAGAGTTGGGAAGAGGAACACAAGATAGATAATCAAGAGATAAAGAGGGAGAGGCTCTACTGGAATTATCAGGAAAAGGGAGGTCGGTAATTGAAAAAGGTACTGGAAGAGGAAGAAGAGTAGAAACGGATCACCAACTGATAGCCACTGGTTTACGAGGGAAGATGCAAAGACGGAGGGGGATGCAGTTATGGACAAGTGACACTGTTGAGTCGTAGACTATAAGAACAACCCCCCTTCTGGGCATACAGAGGAGGAGTGGGAAAATTTGGAGGCAATAACGTGGTAATAAGTAAATGAAGGGGAAGGAAGAAATAATAGAAAGAGAGTGTGAGAGAGAAACAAATATATAATGATAATGGAGAAAGAAAACAAGAAAAGGGGGGGGGGATTTAGAGAACAGAAAAAAGTACAAAATAAAATTTAAACGAGAAACAGAGGAAAAACAGATGAGGAATATAAATAGATGACTGAAAGCAGCACTTTATTAAGGTACTACAGCGAAAGCAAGAGAAAGGGGACGTGTTAGAGGAGGTGGGAAGGAGACGAGATTTCAAAAGAAGAGCTTGAGCACTGAAGAAAGGGAAAGCGGCAGTGAGGGAAGCAACATGAAAAGGATGTTAAAGAAAGCAACGGACGAATATGCACTACAGAAATTGGTGGACAAAGAATTGGAAAAAAATGGCGGAACGGTGATCGCATTTGTCATAGATTTAAAGGCGGAGTGGAAAGGAAAATAGACAGTAAGGTAAAGGAATTTTTTAGTGTAGACTTTTTTATTTATATTAGGCCATCAGGGGAACCAACGCAATTTTGGAGAGTGGCGTCCGTTTTTAACAAATAGCCCGTGGGCATCTTTTGTTTATAATGCAATTTTCGTCTCGGATACACGGAACCGCTACGTGAATAAGGTACGCTGCTATGGTAACAATGCACGCATTTTAGATGCGAATACAACAATTGCGTAACAGAATATAGATGGACGGCTGGAAGAGGTTTATGGAAAAATCAGGCTTGGAAGTAATTAAAATGTGACGGAAGCAGAAAGAAAACAGGGAAATGAGTATGAAAGGAAGAGTGGGGGAACAAACGCGAAGGAAAACAATTGGGTAAAAGGTAAGTGCATAAGTTCTTCGTAAACTGGGGGTATTTCGCACCCCCAGACCACCGCTGCTGCGTTCTCTTTTAAAATTCAGGGCTAAGGATTAAACGTTTTAGGGAAGAATGTAGATACGAGGGGCTGGGAGTATGGAATACCCCCGGTAATGAAAGATTTAATTTTCATTTGTTTGCAAAAGTTTTTTATATACGGGGGGGGGGGGAGTATCCCATACTCCACCAGCCCCCCCCACCCCCCTACGTTCCCATCAAAACTCAGACTTAATGAAAAAGGTGCTGTAAGTACGTAGGGCCGTAAACGTTATACCTCCCGACAATTAAAGATTTAATGTTCGTTTCTTTGTCTCTATCAAAAGATGTTTATGGGGAGTGGGGGGATTCCATACCCCGGGGTCTGGAGGGGGGAGGTTGTTTAAGCAAAGCCTGATTTGCAAAATTAGCGAAAATAGCGCGAAAGGTCTACTTTCTAGTAACTCTTGGCTCTTCGAGCCCAGAAATTAATATGACCAAGACTGCTAAAATAAGAACTCAGCCAAACATTTACAGGACAAAATAAAAAAAGTGGAAAGGAACATAGACAGTAAGGTAAAGGAGTTTTTTAGTGTAGACTTTTCTATTTATATTACGCCATCAGGGGAACCAACGCAATTTTGGAGAGTGGCGTCCCTTTTTAACAAATAGCCGGTGGGCATCTTTTGTTTATAATGCAATTTTCGTCTCGGCTACACGGAACCGCTATGTGAATAAGGTAACAATGTACGCATTTTAGATGCGAATACACAAATTGCGTAACAGAGTATAGATGGACGCCTGGAAAAGGTTTATGGAAAAATCACGTTTGGAAAAAATTAAAATGTGACAGACGCAGAAAGACAACAGGGAAATGAGTATGAAAGGAAGAGTGGTGAAACGCGTAGGAAAACATTTGGTAAAAGGTAGGTGCATAAGTTCTTCGTAAACTGGGGGTATTTCGCACCCCCCAGACCCCCGGTGCTGCGTTCTCTCTTAAAATTCAGGGCCGTAAACGTTATACCTCCCGACCATGAAAGATTTAATGTTCGTTTCTTTGTCTCTATCAAAAGGTGTTTATGGGGAGCGGGGGGATGCCATACCCCGGGGTCTGGAGGGAGGAGTTTGTTTAAACAAAGCCTGATTTGCAAGATTAACGAAAATAGCGCGAAAGGTCTCTTTCCTAGAGCCCAAAAATTAGCTACTTTCTAGTAACTTCTGGCCATTAGAGCCCAAAAATTAATATGACCAACATCACTCAAATATATTAAGAACGGAGTCTATGCCTAATGTCTGGGTTTTAAATATCCTGGGAGTAAATTGCCTGGGTGCAAATTACCAGTAAGCCAATTATTCTGCTGCAATTGTTCTGGGAATAAATTTGTAGGGTGCAAATTATTCGGGCGCTAATTTTTTTGGGTGTCAAGTTTCCGAAAGCGAAATGTACAGGGCTCAAAGAGTGAGGGTGCGAATTAATCCGTTGCGATTTATCCGAGAGCAAATTTTAGGGTGTGAGATATTTGGGAGCAAATTTTGCGGTAGCGAAAAAACGCTTAACTCGTTGGCGTTTTCTTAAAGTTAACGTGAAGGAAACGTAAAATAGATTGATGGAAATCCTGTCCTATTTATGAGCCCTTATGCTGTCCGCAAGTCCGACCGTGGTGTCGCTCATTGTGGGAGGAAAAGTATAGCCAGAGAGAAAAGCACTATGGTTTATTTTGGTAATTCTTTCTTTAGAAGAACTTCACGTCAGCTTCACGTCAACTACGAATAAAGCATACACTGCTGATCCATGCTTGAAAAATCAATTTGGTTAACCTTGTTGCCGGCGATAGCCCACACCGTACCGCTGGCCGCCTGATCCAAAACCGTCATCAGCAGTTTGGCGAACTCTTGCGGCCTAAAAACATTGCCTTCTTTAGTCGCTCCCGGAAAATTGCGAACACCTACGACTGAGATTTCATCCCATTTAAAGTCTCCACATGAACCGCTTGGGTGTTCGGGTGCAAACCTGAACTGGCCACCAGACTTGCTGAAGAGAGCATCAGCTCGGTGGTCGTCTTGCCAGGACATACCGTAATGACCTTGACGCCATTGTGATCGTAGTACATTGGAGCTCCCAGACTACGACCCAACATGATGGTAAAGGCTTTGGTGGACGAGTACACCGGCATGGCCATGTTTGGTGATATCCCACGAATCGAGGCCACGTTCACAATGGTCCCCCCTCTGCCGTTTTGCTTGGTGCTCATATACTGAAATCCAGTCAGCGTCCCTTGAAGCGCACCTCCCTGCAAAAGCCACGTAGTCTAGCAAAGACGCAAACCTAACACATACGCAGTTGGTCAAGAGTGCCGGCTCCCAATTCTGTTCAGACACCATTCCCGCATCGTTGATCACCAGGTCGAGGTGCCCCCAATGCTCGACCGATTCTCTGAAAGCATCTAAAATAAATCGCACCTAGTGCTGAACAGCAGTGACAAATCCCAACCTCTCACTTCGGCCTTCTTCGAAACGTCGGCTTCGAGGAAAAGTACCTTGAGCGGCCCGAATTCACTTTGGAGCAGTGCCGTTGACTCTTTTCCCTTTTTCACGTTAATATCCACCAAGCTTACACCCTTTTAACAAACGTAGTTGATTCGTGCGACCCAAACTAGGACCACTCACCTCAATCCCGTTGAGGAGAAGCTCCCTTACGCAGGCGAAGCCGATTCCTCGTGCACCACCAGTAACTAAAGCGTACTTTTCTTTCAGCGACATTTTGTATTGATAACAGGATTTCTATTGATTTCTGTTGTTATCATTTGGTTTATCTAGGCACTTGTAGATAGCGAAATTATTAAAAATATTTCGGGCCATCAGACGAACTTGACGATAGGAGAACCGTGGGGAAATAAATCAGGATTAATGTAATCATTAATTAATTAATTAACGAGATGGCAAAATGCATTTAGACGTTTTCTATTTTCAATTATAGCATTACAAAAATAATGCGCCGTCTTAAAATAACCAACACCTGCGTTAAATTTCGGCAATCCGTATCTTGAAACTAATTAGCGATTAAAAAAACTTCTTATCTACGACCGGAGAAAAACAAGAGATAAATTTGTACTTCTTAATAATTTCCAGATGTTTAAATCGAGTGTTAAAACAAACCTAGATGGAGTCAAGATCTACTGGGGCAAGTCAGAGCTCTACTCTGCCTAGGTTTGTTCCGCACTCGCACTCGGATCGCTCGGCACTATTTTAAAATAATCACTTGCATCTTGTTCGGCATTAAAATCGGATTGTTATTAAAGTAAAATGATAGTGTTAAAACCAGTGCAGAGCTAGCCGAAGACGAGTTCGGCACAAACCTAGACAGAGTAAAGGTCTGGTTGGATTTTGTAGTAGTGTGGAAAGTTCTTTACTGGCCTTTAAGTTCTTTGACAGTTTTTAAAAACATTAAAGAATCCTTTAAGAAATTATAGACATCAAAAGCAAACAAATTCTTATTTTTAGCTGGTAAATACGCCCTTAAAATTTGTTTACTCAATTTTTTTATTATTATTTTTTATTGCCTTTATTTTAGAGTGGGCGGAGTGTTAGCAATTTGCTACTCTTCCCACTCAACCCACTATACAATCACAAACTTACTGCCTTACCTGGGATTTGAACACAGGACCCTTGTAGCCAAAGTTAGAGCTACTAATCTGAGCTACGCAGGTCTATTTGAATCACCCTGTATATGCAGGGTGTAACTTTGCAGTATACAGTATCCGATATATCTTCGGTAGCACAAGATAAACATTTCAAAATGAAATGAAAGGCGAGAATGAAAAAAAACCATCGAGGTTATAGAATGCGTGAATAAAAAAAAACCAGAAAACCAACAGAACAAACAAAATGAATGATAGCAGAAATCGAAGGGAATTAGGACGATAATGAAAAGAAAGAAAGTGGGAAGAGGGAAAATTGAAGTGAAGAGTACAGAAAGAAATCACAGAGACGTGGCGAAAACAGAAAGGGAAGTATCAAAGAAAAAGAATTACTGAACAGCGTAGGAAAGTGGGGGGTTTGGAGAATAGAAACGAGCAAGAAGAGTGGGAGAGGGGAAGGAAGTGAGGTTAGGTTAGAGTGCTAGATAGGTTAGCTCAAGAATCTTGTATCAGGAGAATATAATGTGCGAGGAGATTGAATTTTAGGATAAAATATTAGTGAGGTTAAGTTAGTGCTAGTTAGGTTAGCTCAAAAATCTTGTATCAGGAGAATATAATGTGCGAGGAGATTGAATTTTAGGATAAAATATTAGTGAGGTTAAGTTAGTGCTAGTTAGGTTAGCTCAAAATTCTTGTATCAGGAGAATATAATGTGCGAGGAGATTGAATTTTAGGATAAAATAGTGAGGTTTAGTGAGGTTAGATTAGAGTGCTAGTTAGGTTAGGTCAAAAATCTTGTATCAGGAGAATATAACGTGCGAGGAGATTGAATTTTAGGATACAGTATTAGTGAGGTTAGGTTAGAGTGCTAGTTAGGTTAGGTCAAAAATCATGTATCAGGAGAATATAATGTGCGAGGAGTTTGAATTTTAGGATAAAATATTAGTGAGGTTAGGTTAGAGTGCTAGTTAGGTTAGCTCAAGAATCTTGTATCAGGAGAATATAATGTGCGAGGAGATTGAATTTTAGGATAAATAATATTAGTGAGGTTAGGTTAGAGTGCTAGTTAGGTTAGCTCAAAAATCTTGTAACAGGAGAATATAACGTGCGAGGAGATTGAATTTTAGGATAAAATATTAGTGAGGTTAGGTTAGAGTGCTAGTTAGGTTAGCTCAAAAGTCTTGTATCAGGAGAGTATAATGTGCGAGGAGTTTGAATTTTAGGATAAAATATTAGTGAGGTTAAGTTAGAGTGCTAGTTAGGTTAGCTCAAAAATCTTGTAACAGGAGAATATAATGTGCGAGTAGATTGAATTTTAGGATAAAATAGTGAGGTTAGGTTAGAGTGCTAGTTAGGTTAGCTCAAAAATCTTGTATCAGGAGAATATAATGTGTGAGGAGATTGAATTTTAGGATAAAATATTAGTGAGGTTAAGTTAGTTAGGTTAGCTCAAAAATCTTGTATCAGGAGAATATAATGTGCTAGGAGATTGAATTTTAGGATAAAATATTAGTGAGGTTAAGTTAGTGCTAGTTAGGTTAGCTCAAAATTCTTGTATCAGGAGAGTATAATGTGCGAGGAGATTGAATTTTAGGATAAAATAGTGAGGTTAGGTTAGAGTGCTAGTTAGGTTAGCTCAAGAATCTTGTATCAGGAGAATATAATGTGCGAGGAGATTGAATTTTAGGATAAAATATTAGTGAGGTTAGGTTAGAGTGCTAGTTAGGTTAGCTCAAAAATCTTGTATCAGGAGAATATAATGTGCGAGGAGATTGAATTTTAGGATAAAATATTAGTGAGGTTAGGTTAGAGTGCTAGTTAGGTTAGCTCAAAAATCTTGTATCAGGAGAATATAATGTGCGAGGAGATTGAATTTTAGGATAAAATATTAGTGAGGTTAGGTTAGAGTGCTAGTTAGGTTAGCTCAAGAATCTTGTATCAGGAGAATATAATGTGCGAGGAGATTGAATTTTAGGATAAAATATTAGTGAGGTTAAGTTAGTGCTAGTTAGGTTAGCTCAAGAATCTTGTATCAGGAGAATATAATGTGCGAGGAGATTGAATTTTAGGATAAAATATTAGTGAGGTTAGGTTAGAGTGCTAGTTAGGTTAGCTCAAAAATCTTGTATCAGGAGAATATAATGTGCGAGGAGATTGAATTTTAGGATAAAATATTAGTGAGGTTAAGTTAGTGCTAGTTAGGTTAGCTCAAAATTCTTGTATCAGGAGAGTATAATGTGCGAGGAGTTTGAATTTTAGGATAAAATATTAGTGAGGTTAGGTTAGAGTGCTAGTTAGGTTAGCTCAAAAATCTTGTATCAGGAGAATATAATGTGCGAGGAGATTGAATTTTAGGATAAAATATTAGTGAGGTTAGGTTAGAGTGCTAGTTAGGTTAGCTCAAAAATCTTGTAACAGGAGAATATAATGTGCGAGGAGATTGAATTTTAGGATAAAATATTAGTGAGGTTAGGTTAGAGTGCTAGTTAGGTTAGCTCAAGAATCTTGTATCAGGAGAATATAATGTGCGAGGAGATTGAATTTTAGGATAAAATATTAGTGAGGTTAGGTTAGAGTGCTAGTTAGGTTAGCTCAAGAATCTTGTATCAGGAGAATATAATGTGCGAGGAGATTGAATTTTAGGATAAAATATTAGTGAGGTTAAGTTAGTGCTAGTTAGGTTAGCTCAAAATTCTTGTATCAGGAGAGTATAATGTGCGAGGAGATTGAATTTTAGGATAAAATAGTGAGGTTAGGTTAGAGTGCTAGTTAGGTTAGCTCAAAATTCTTGTATCAGGAGAATATAATGTGCGAGGAGATTGAATTTTAGGATAAAATAGTGAGGTTAGGTTAGGGTGACAGTTAGGTTAGCTTAAAAATCTTGTATCAGGAGAATATAATGTGCGAGGAGATTAAGGTTAGGAAAATTTTTTAGTGAGGTTAGGTTAGGGTGATAGTTAGGTTAGCTCAAAAATCTTGTATCAGGAGAATATAATGTGCGAGGAGATTGAAGGTTAGGATTAAAAATTAGTGAGGTTAGGTTAGGGTGATAGCTCAAAAATTTTGTATCAGGAGAATATAATGTGCGAGGAGATTAAGGTTAGGAAAAATTTTTAGTGAGGTTAGGTTAGGGTGATAGTTAGGTTAGCTCAAAAATCTTGTATTAGGAGAATATAATGTGCGAGGAGATTAAGGTTAGGAAAAATTTTTAGTGAGGTTAGGTTAGGGTGATAGTTAGGTTAGCTCAAAAATCTTGTATCAGGAGAATATAATGTGCGAGGAGATTGAAGGTTAGGATTAAAAATTAGTGAGGTTAGGTTAGGGTGATAGCTCAAAAATTTTGTATCAGGAGAATATAATGTGCGAGGAGATTAAGGTTAGGAAAAATTTTTAGTGAGGTTAGGTTAGGGTGATAGTTAGGTTAGCTCAAATATCTTGTATCAGGAGAATATAATGTGCGAGGAGATTGAAGGTTAGGATAAAAAATTAGTGAGGTTAGGTTAGGTTTATTCTAACCTTCAATCCCCGACATTATATCTTCCTGATACATAATTCGACCTACATAACTGTCACTCTAACCTAACTCCTAATATTTTAATTCTAACCTTCAATCCCTCGCACATTATATTCTCCTATACCAAGATTCTACACTAAACCTAACTGCACCTCTAAACCTAACCTCACAATATTTATTTAACCTTCAATTCCTCGCACCATTATATTCCCTTATACAAGATGCTACCTAACCTAACGCACTCTAACCAACTTCACAATATTATCTAACCTCAATCTCCTCGCACATTATATTCTCCTGAACAGATCTGACCTTACCTAACTGTCACTCTATACCTAACCTCACTAATATTTTATTCGAACCTTCATTCTCCTCCGCACATTATATTCTCCTGATACAAGATTTCTACCTAACCTAACTGCACTCAACCTAACCTCACTAAGATTTTATTCAACCTTTCAATCTACCTCGCACATAATATTCTCCATGAACAAGATTTCTGATCCTAACAAACTGTCACTCTAACCTAACCTCACTAATATTTGATTCTAACCTCAATCTCCTCGCCACTTATATTCTCCTATACAAGATTTCGATCCTAACTTAACTGCACTCTAAACCA